CATGCGGGTGCGGCCCCGGTCGGGCCTGCGGGGCTGGGCTGCCCGGTGCGCGGGTGTGCGGCCCGGGGAGGGGCGGCAGCGCTCGGGACGCGGTGGCCGAGGGACGGCGGCCGCGTAGGGCCGGAGCGCTGCCGCTGTGGAGCAGCGAGGGGCGGAGGAGGCGAAGCCCCGGGCTGGGGCGAGCCTGCGGGGCTCAAGGTCAGAGCTGATGGGCTCACCCGGCATCCAGCGGGGGCTGCTGCGCACACGGACAGCGAGGTGCTGCCTCAGCAGCTCCAGAGCCCCGCTGGGTGGCTGCTGAGCAGGGCATGGCTGCACGTAGCTGCTTATCTCGGGCAGGGGAGGAGAGCTGGGTGGCAGTAATGTGGGGCTGCTCACACTGCGTGCTGGCTGCTTTACCAAGAGCCCGTGGCCTAGGTAGGAGTGTGCATAGCAGAGTTCTCTTCATTGGGCCTTAAACGAGCTGAACTGGGGACCCCTTCACAGCTCTGCATCTGATAGATGGGAAAAGCAAAACTGAACTTCCCCTAAAACAAGATCCCTTTAGCATGTGTTGTGGTTCTGGTTTAACTTTTGCTTATAGCGTGATTTAACTGGTCAGTCTCCTCTGCCTTTCAGAAGAATTGGTGTTTGCTTTTTTCTGCTCTGGTGCTTGGCTCCCATCAGCCTGCAGGTGGCAATGGGAACCTCTTAGTCCCACTGAAACCAGCAGAGATGCTCTGAAAGCAGCTGGGTTTATTTCACAGTCCTCATAAGAACACAGTTAATTGTGTTGCAGTAATATCTAAGTGCTGTCCATCAGAAGGTTTTGTTACCTCAGTTCCTGGAATGATTCAGACTGTGTTGATGGGGTAAAGGTAAAGTTAATGCAGCTGTCATTTGTTGGACTCCAGTGGCAGGGGAGAAAGGTGAGGAATTGCTGCACCGTTCTCCAGTGACACAAGGTGGGCATGAAAAGCCTGTTAGGGTAGGTGCTCTGTTTTAGGAGAAGACTGTTGATAAGGTCTAGCCTGGAACAGTTGCTGGGGCAAGATTCCCTCAGTTAGTTCTTCCATGGAGATGCCAGTGTCAGGTCAAATGTTCTTTTCCTCTGTGGGCTGCTGCAAAACTCTCTTGTAGATCACTTCAAAATGGAGTAAACTTGGGGGGAAAAAGATCATTCTCCTGACAATCATATTGTCAGCACTGGTTCCAGTGTGTGCCCCTGGGAAGGGGGCATGTTCCAGAAATAGTCACTCAAGGGAGAGGGAATGGCTGGCACTGAGTAGACTGGCTTGCTTGGATCTGAAGGATTTTGGTGTTTGTGCTGTCCTGAATAAGGAAGTTGAGCGTTCCCATCATGCATCCTTAGGAGGTTTAGTTTTCTCACTGCATCTTCAGGTTTCAGTTGCATGTGTGGCTTCCAGAGCAACCTGCAAATAAACTGCTTTGCTTCATTACAGACAAACCTCCCCATCTTCAAATTGAAGGAGTCGTGTGTGAGGAGACGATACAGCGACTTTGAGTGGCTGAAGAATGAGCTGGAACGAGACAGTAAGGTGAGGCCTGGCTCAGACCTCCTTATTCCTTAAGTCAGGACGTGGGAACAGTTGCAGCAACAATCTTGAGATTCCCAGAAGTGGTGGTGCATGTTGCACCCCAGATACTTAAATCTAGGGGTTAAACTGAGATTCCCTTACTCTAGTTTGGTGCAAGGAGAAATCCCAACCAGATATTCTCAAGAGGTCACAAATGCACAAAAGTTTACTGGCAAAAATAAGGAATTTTGGCAAAAGAATTGATACATTTATTATAACGTTACTTTTATGTAACAATAAATTACTATTAACTTAGCATAATGTTACCCTGCTTAACTTAGAAACCTTTAAAACCTTAAGTTGCTATGTTACCTAGAAAAGTTCCATGAAAAGATGATTAGAAGGAAAAGAGAGAGAAAGACAGAAAAGGTACAGGAAAACACACACAGTTACCAACTTCTAGGGTTCCAGCATGGACGAGATGAAAACTCCGGGAGAATGCAGGGGCCAGACAAGTCCCTCGTGGGAGCTTTTAAGCCCCAGGGCTTTCGTGGCCGCCTCCCAAGGTGGAGCTTCTGGCCACTCAGGGGCTGGGCTAGCACCACCCACAGTGTGATTGATGAACAGCTCTGCCCGGCCTGGGGTGTTGGCTCTGGGCTGAGGGGTGGAGCCCTTCGCAAGCCCTGATCTGCCCCTCCCACCAAACATACCCACAGGCATTTGCCAAGCATCCCAAAATGATTTGAGATGTGAAATTTAGCCAGTCTCTGATAGCGGGCAACTTCTGCTCTGTCCATGCAATGGCACTGGAGATGAGCATCAAACAGCAAAGGATGTCTGCTGGCAGGTGGCTGTTGTGCTCATGGGGTGATTCTGTGCTTTCAGATTGTAGTGCCACCGCTGCCTGGAAAAGCTTTGAAACGACAGCTTCCCTTCCGAGGAGATGAAGGCATCTTTGAGGAGTCCTTCATCGAGGAGCGGAGACAGGGCCTAGAACAGTTTATTAACAAGTAAGTTGGATGTCCAGGCTTTGCTGTGTGCTGCCTTTTTAGCTCTTGCTGGCCGTGGGCTGACTGTGAGAGAGTCTTGAGTCTTGACCTGCTTCTGGCAGGTGCCAGTGCTGGAGGGTGGTGCCTGCAGCCACGTAATGAAACTGGAACTGGAGCAAGTCCTGCCCTGAGTGGGGGCTGTGCTTTGTGCTCTCTCCTGAGAGCATAGTGAGTATTAGCAGAACAGCTGTGCTACAGGGACCCACCAGCATGGTACTGTTGGTTCAGGGCACGGCCTGGAAGGGAACAGCCTGTGCTCAAGCACCTCTTACTGGTCCTGTTGCAGAGCCATGCGTGACCTTGGGCTGAGCGCGGTGCAGGTGTGCTGAGCTGGCTGCCTGACTCCCTCCTGTGCACATCAGAGGTGTGGGGGTCTTGGAGGCAGCTGTGCTAACCTCCATATCTGATTTTCTTCCAGAATTGCTGGACACCCACTGGCACAGAATGAGCGCTGCTTACATATGTTCCTGCAAGAGGAGACTATTGATAGGAATTACGTCCCAGGGAAAGTGCGCCAGTAGGAGCACCTGGCACTGTCTTCCTCCATTCCACCCTCCCTCCTGCAAAAATGACATTTATTTTTACACTAAATCTGTCTTCTCTGAACCAGCTTTTCCTCTCTTGAACCTCCCAGTTTGTTCAGTATTTTCCTCTTTTGTAACTGGCAGCAGTTTGTTCTACTGGGCTGTGGTCGTGGCCTAAAGATGTGAAGATTTATGCAAGTGAGTGTGTTGTCCCATGTCTAGGGGCAGATGTGGCTAGGTGTGGAGCAGGAACTTGCTAATGGCGTTCTGGTGTAGGAGCTGCCTCTCTCCCTGTACAGGAAGATAAGAGATGACCTTCACTCCCTTGTCTGTGCAGCCCCAAGCATCTCTGCTGGAGACTTTGAAGAATAGCAGTTGTCATGTTGGTCAGTGATTATATCAGGTATTAGAGTTTTAGTAAGGTTTATCCAAACCAGTGAGTAGGTGCCTGGGTGTGTCAGTCTGTCATCCACCCCATTCACCCTGCATGAAACCCCCATTCTTCACTGTCTGGAAGTGCTGAGACCCAACACCTACTCAAACCCCGCTATCAGCCTCCTGAATTACAGACCTATTTGGTGTATTTGTGTCCCCTCCTTTCTAAGGTGCTGCTGGCAGCTCGAGGGGTTTCCATCCCACGTGCTCTCATGATGCTCTTTGTGGGCCATTTGGCATGTGGAAGATGGGATAGTCTGGGCTTTAGCCACATGTGCTGTGATGCATTGGCCCAGAGTTTAAGAAACACCACAGCCTGCTGTAGCATGGGCTGCTGGGCTGGTGTTGCCTGCAGCACCCTGCTCGGCTGAGCCTAGTGACCTTATCCTGGGCCCCAGCTGCTGGGAGGAGCAGACTGGCTGGTGAGGAGGAGCAAGAGAAGGCTGGTGGGAGCAGTTGTAGGATGCAGCTGTGATGGCTGCCACTGGAGGGGCCCAGAGTGAGGCCACCTCTCCAGAAAAGGACAGCAGAAAATGGGAGTCAGTCATAGGTTAGACATTGCTTGCAAAGCAGGAGAAGTGGCAATGGCTCTTTGTGTCTTCTCCCCTGTTCTGCAGTGAGCTAGGCAGTCACTTGTGTGGAAGTGAGAACGTTCAGCTGGTCAGGGAAGTGTTCAAAGCTTGAGGGGACAATGAGGCTGTGACTTGCTGCAGCACAAGTGTCCTTTGGAGGCTCCCCCAGCTGCCACAGCTGTGATGAGTGAGGTTGGGCCTCAGCTCAGGGGCTCCTCAGGTCAAGGCTGGCTGGTTTAAAAGTGCTTGGTCACTTTGTTGTGGCACAGTTGAGCCTTTCTTGGAGCACAGGCCCAGAGTGGATGCCCTCCTTTTCCTGCCAGGCACGTTACCCGAGGCCTTCCCACCGTCCCCTCTGTTTTCTGGTGAGGAACTGGTACTGCTGGGCGAGAGGTGGCTCTTGGGGAGAAGTCGCTGAAAGCGCGAGGGAGCTGCTCCGGGGGCTGGCTCGGTCCGTGAAGGGCCGTGGGGCAGCGCGGAGCCCGGTGCCGGTGGAGGCGGCCGTGGCCTCGGAGGGGCTCGGTCCCTGCCTCCTGCTGCCGCCAGTCGCGCTCGGGGCGGCTCCTTCCCCTGCCCTGCGCGGGGCTGCCATCCATCCAGCTGTCTGCACCCTGTCCAGTGTAACGTCCCGGTGCCGTTCGCATTAAACCACTGTGAAGCCAATTGTCTGCCTGGTCCTGGGGGCTACCGGGACGGGGGAACCGCCGGGAGAGAGCGGTCACCGGCGAGGGGGCGGGAGAGCTGCCGGGACAGAGCGGGCAGCGGCGGGGCGGGGGAACGGCCGGGATGAGAGGGACACGGGCGGGGCGGGACAACGGCCGGAACAGAGCGGGCACGGGCGGGGCCGGCACAGCGCGGAGGCGGGCGGGGCTCCCCGGTTCTCCCCGGCGGTTCCGAGGCGCGATGTGGCTGCCGGAGCCGCAGCCCGGCCCCGGCTCGCCGGACTGCCCTGACCTGCTGCAGCACGTCCCGGCGCTGCGCTCGCCGGCCACCCCGCTGTACCTCAGCTTCTTCGAGGAGGAGTGTCGCGCCATCGCCGCCCGCCTGCGCCTCGGGGCGGCCGCGGAGCCCTCGCCGGGCCCGGGAGAGCTCAGCGGGCTGCAGCCCAAGCCCCCCGGACCCGCCACCTCCACGCCGCTGCCCTTACCGAGCCACGGGCGGCTCCCAAACTCGAGCGCGGGCGATTGCGAGGCCGCTGCTGCCCCTGGCCCGGCGCCAGTTCCGACCCCGGGGGAGCTCGGATGCCTCCCGCAGCCCGCGGCCGGCGGCGCCCTCCCCGCTCGCACGCCCGCTGTGTCCCGGCGGGCGCGGCGCGGCCCCGGGCAGCCCTCCGGCGGCGGCCCCGGCACCCCTGCCCGCTCCCCGGGCCGCGGCCGCGCCAGGCTCGCTCTGCCCCGCGCACGGGCCTCGCTGGGGCTGCAGCTCCCCGCGGCCGGCACAGGGCGCGGCGCCTGGGAAACGCGGCTCCTGCGGCCCCCAGGTAAGCGGGGTCACGGCGGGGAGCCCCGGCACGGCACCGCCCGCCCGGCCCTGCAGAACCCCTCTCTCCCCCAGGGACCAGGCTGAAGCTGACGTCGCCTGCCAGGTCCAGGCTTCAACGTGCCGGCGGGGCTTCGCAGCAGGCACAGCCTTCCAGCCTTCCCAAACTCGTCCCCCGGGCCAGAGGGGTGAAAAGTAATTCTGCACCTGCCAGTTGCCTCGCGCGAAGCAGGGAAGCACGTAGGTTACGGTGCTGCACCTAGAAGGGAGAAGGGGAAGGGCTTGGGCTGCAGCCCAAAAAGGGGACAGGGCATGGGGAGTGGGGAGTCCATGGGAGCGGCACAGGTAGGAGCCTAGGAAATAGTCTCGTACCCCGAGGTGCGTGGTGTGTGTTAACTGCCACCAGTGTGGGCTGGCAGCCTGTTGAGTTTGAAGCCTTCACCCCGTGGTGTTGTGGGGTCACGGCGTACTGGTGCCTGTGCTCCTAGGGCAGGCAGCCTGGCTGAGCCCCGGCCTGCCTGAAGAAGGTGAAATGGAGCTGCTTGGGAATAGCGGCTTCTGTGTTTAATGTTCACTACAGCTGCTGCCAAGGTTGGGAGTTCTAAACAGCCCTCTTCAAAGCTTTCTACAGGAATTCCTACTGTGGCTTCCCGCTCCTCACTGAGGCCTCCGGAAAAAGTGATTTCGTCCAAGCGTTTTTGCCTCAATAATGGTGAGTCTTGGCAGAAGCCTCAGAGGCTGCAGAGTCATGGGAGAGGGGCACTGCTGCCATGGGAAGAACATCCAGGTCTTGGCTGCAGGGTCAAAGCTCATCCTGGGGAATGGACTGGGGGGGGACTGCATGTGCTTGGCCTCACAGGAGGGGAGGTAAAGTGCAGAGCAAGCAAGGCTGGGTGAAGTACTTTCCCTCTTTTGCTGGAGAGGCATCCAGCAAAGAATCCAAACAAATCTGGTGCTTGAGGCTCATTCATAGGAGAGGGAGTGGCCGTGGTCAGTCTCTTAGCAGGGGTTGATGCTCTTTATTTTCCTTTCTTGGGTCTCACTTCAGAATCAACTACAGAGGAGCTGGTGTGCAATAGGACCCGAGAGCTGCAGGAAAATGATGGGAGCAAAGAAAGGCTGGTTGCAGCAAGTATCGTCTTGGGAGCAGGTGAGCAGTATGGAGGTGTAGATTCTTGCCTTGTGTTGGGGGGAGTGTGGAGAAACATGGGCAGCTGCTTGTTGGGCAGTGCTGCTCCCCAGATAGGCCCTGTGACCAGGTGTGGCCCTGGCTGAGGGTGCTCCAGACTGTGCTGCAGGCAGGGGGTGCTGCCTGCCCAGGAACTGCAGCTGGGCAGCCGCAGTGCTGAGCCCTGCAGAGGGAAGGGAGGCGAGGAGGCTCTCCCCGCTCTGCTGCGACAGCCCCGTCCCACCCTGCCCAGGCAGCTGCCTGCCCTCACTGTGAGAGCAGACTCCCAGCAGGAGCCCAGAGCCTCTGGGAGCCAGGCCATGCAGGAGCACTTTCTCCCAGCAGCAGCTGTTGGGCTGGAGGTGCTGGGACACTTCTGGCTCTCTTGGACAGGTTCTGTCTTTCCCTGATCTGGAGCAGCTCTGTGGCCAGGTGGAAGAGGGGCTGAGGATGGCAGGTTTCTAGTGCTGACATCTCTCTTCACAGGTAGAAATGACCAGACATGGGAGTGTGTGGAGTCCTCTCTGTCCAGTGAGTTGGCCCCTGGCCTGACTTCAGGGTGTGAAGATGCAGTCCCTGCTGAGCAGGTAAGAGCCAGCTGTGTCCTGTCACCATGGAGCACTGTTCAGTCTCTGGCTTGGGCCAGCTATGCCAGAGATAGGAGATGATGAGGCCTGGACCTGCCAATTTCTGGCTGGCACTTGAGCTGTTTCAGCCTTTCTCTGGGGTTTACACAAGTCCATGGACATTTTTTGCCTGGCTTTACCAGCTCTCTGTGCTCAGGGGACTGCAGGCTTCTGTCCAGCTAGATTTTCTAAGGGCCTTTGGAAACACGCAAACTTCATGTGGCTTGTGTTGTCACTTTTACATGTCCTGACATGTAGGACATGGCCCCAGGATGGGCTGTGCAGAGCCTGCAAGATGAATCTCTAAGTTGGGAATCTCCTACCTGCAAAATAAGTTTGTGCATTTTCCAGCAGTTTTAGGGCTCTTCACTCTGTGGCTGCAGCCAGCCAAAGGCATTCTTGTTTCCCATGGGTGCTGGCAGATGCTCCCTACAGCAGCTCCTTTGCCAGGCACTGCTCCTGTGATGGATGTGCCTCAGGGGGCTGAGCTTGGAGTGTTGGATGGGCTGCAGTGCTCCTCCAGAGGATGGGCTGTGCTGTGGCTGTGTTGTGGGGGGGCTGCAACTCCCTGCATCACACTTGCACCCTGCTCTTGCCAGTCTGCAGGTGATCAGCTGTCCCAGGAACTGGAGCGTGTGAAGAAAGAGCTGGAACAAGTGAAGGGCGAGCTTGGTATGTGGAGCTGGCTGTTCTGAGGATTGCAGGACACCTGTAGTGCAGGTGACATCCCCTGTGCTTGTACCTGGAGCCCAGGGCCTGCAGCTCTGTGGGAGTGGGGCTGGATTCATGTTTAGGGGGTAGAGCAGGATCTCTGTGCTGCCCTAGAGAGTCTGGGTGTGAGGTATTTAGGATAGGCTGAGCACACACCTTCTTGCCTCCTGTCTGCAGCTGACAAGACTGCCCAGTGTGAAGCCTATCAGCAGACAATCTCCTCCTTGCAGGCTCAGCTCAGAGCAGCAGGTATGTTCCCTCACTGTGGTGAGCTCTCTCCTCTGGGCAGGCTGCAGGGATGCTCCAGTGGTCCCTTGAGGGCTGTGAGGTGGGAGGGATACAGCTCATGGCCTTTCCCAGGGGTCAGGTGCTGAGTACCAGAAGCATTACTGCTTTGATGTTGCTTCCCAGGAATCTGTCAGAAAGATGCAGCAGTGCTTGACAGTGGTGACCTGGGGAGAGACTGACAGCTGGGACATGGGGACAGACAACAGCCATTGTCCAGCTGTGCGAGCCCCTGGGCCAGTGATATATGTGGAGCTCTTGAATTAATTAATTTTTTAACTCCTTGTATGTAAAATAAAGGTGTCTTTTGCAGTGGTGCTTGCTGTCTGCTTGGGTAGAGGCAGTGCCCTGGGCGAACAGGGCAGGTCTGTGCTTGGTTATGGCTGGTTTTGCTTAGCCAGAGATTTAAGGTCTGTTACAAGAAGGAGCTGGGTGCTGGTGGATGGAGGTACAGTGTGGCTCTGGGGAAGCATTTCTGGACAAAACTGATGCTTCCAGGTGGGATGCTTGGATGTGTGGTGGTGGTAGGCAGCTGTATGGGCAGGTTTCTTCTTTAGACCACCTTCACATTGGATGTGGGAAAAGCCAATGCTGGCTGATGGCACATTAGACTTCTGCAGGCTTTGGCTATTTATTACTGCTTTATTGTCAGTGACTAGGGGCATGTGGTGGGAAGCAGCACTTGGGACTCAGTCCAGTCCCTCACTGTTCCTGCTTGCTGGCCCTGCTCTGCTGCCTTCTCTCTGTGCTCGGTTGATGCAGGCGCCTTCTGCACTGCCTTGTGTCTGGGTGAGGCACTGGAGACTCTGGTGCTGGCAGTGCCCTGAGGTTGGGCTGGGAAGGCTGGCCTGTTCCTGCTCCTGTTATTTCTGGCTGGTGTTCCTGGCTGCCTTGGAATGCACATTCACAGGTAGCCCACACCCCTTCCCGGGGCACTGCCCTGGACTGTGTGCAGGGGTGGCTGCACAGGAAAGCTGTGTTGGCTCTCTCCCACCCCTGCTTGGCACTTGGTTGCTGGGGCAGCTCCAGTGCTGGCACAATCTGCAGCAGAGAGCCCTAACATGCTGTGTGTTCCATCTACACGCGTGGTGAAGATAGTACCTGCACCAGGAAGTTAAGGGAGTTGACTCAAAAAAGTGCCCTGCTATTTGTAAACAGAGAGGAACTCGCGGGTGAATCTGGACTCAATGGTCCTTATGGGTCCCTTCCAATCTAAAATACTCTAATGTTTCATTTGTGGAAGGTGGTGGGGGCATCTGAGGACTGATGTGGATCTGTTTCTGCAGGGCTTCTGGCTCGCTTTATAGGCTGGAGCCATCTCCTACCTCCTTTGATGCTGGCTATGTGTGCTTTGCCACTATTTGCCTTCCTGCTGCTCCTGTTGAGACATGCACTTGGCTTGTTCCGTGCCTCTGCCTGCTCCCAGCCCTTGGCCTGTGCTGCTGGATCAGGGCCCTGGATGATGGGAGTGGGGAGCAGTAAGACTGGGAGGTGAAGATGGGACACTGGGAAGACATATGTGGAGCTGCACTTGAGGTTTGGGAACTGGAGACATACTCCGGTGTCCTGATGATGCTCCTTTCTGGAAACTGCCTCCCAAAGCCTGATGTTGCAAGAAGGTTTCTGGAAATAGGGAAATGTAATCTGCCCCCTTGCTATTCTGGGTACGCAGTGCCTGCTCGTCTAGGACAGGGAGACTCCTGCTTGGAGTCCTGATGTGCCCGTGGTGCTGCCTGTCCTGGCTGAAGACCAGCACCATTCTTGGCGATGGTGCTGTCCAGGTCATTGCCTACAGCTGTCAGTCCTGGAATGAGTGGGAAGTGTCTTAGTAATGACCTTATTTCGTCATGGGGTCGGGGTGCTGAACTGCAGTTCCGCGATTCTGAGAAGCGGGGGCAGAGCACTTCACAACTGTGTCACTTCCAGTTAGAAGCATGAGCTGGTGTTTCCATCACCGCGTACTCCAGGCGTTTCCCCCGCCCGGAGGATGCGGGGGAGGCACTGTCTAGCGCTCCCGCCTGCCCTGCCCTGCTCCCCTCCGCTCTGCAAGAGACTGACAAGCTTTTTGCCTCGCTAGCGGCAATGCCGGAGCAGGGCATTGCCGATGATGCCGGCGAGGGGCTGGCTTATCTCCCTGAGCTGCCGCTTTGAACGGGCTCTCACGACACGCCAGCCCTGGATTGCATCAGGCGCTGCCCGGTGACGGGGGGGCCCAGCGAGACAGCATGGTGCTGGCCCCTGCCTCTCTCCTGGCTGCTGAACAGTTCTCCCAGGACTGGGTTTCCCATCCCTTAGTGCCTGTTGCTCCCAGAACGGGGAGAGTCCCCGCACAAGGCGCGGGCGGAGCTCCGCTCGCAGCCCCCGCAGCGGGCTGGCCTCGCCGCCTCGCCTCGCTGCGATCTGGCCGGGCCAGGCTCCGTCCTCATGGCACAGCTGGGCTCGGGGCACCCTGAGCTGCCCCCTCCGTGGCGTTTCCCGAGGGAGCAAGGTGCCTTGCCCTGGTCTCTTGCCCGCAGCAGCCGCATTCCCGCCGGCCGAGCCGTGCCTCGCCCCGGTGCCATTTGTCACGGGAATTTCTATTTTCGAAAACGAGCGCGGGAAGCGGGAGGCGGGTGGGGCTAGAAGGAAGGTCGGCTCTGCCCTGGCTCCCGCCCTCCTCTTTTATACCACTATCACGGCGGAACTCGTCACCCTCTGCTCTCGAGCGCGGCGCGAAACGGAACTGAGTTCACCTAAGGGGGGCCCACGGGGGCGAGCCGAGCCGAGCCGAGCTGAAGGTGAGCGTGGCGCCGCAGGTGAGTGTGGCGGGCGCTGCCGCCGGACCGGGAGCGGCTTGGCGCAACCGGTGCCGATCTTGCATCAGCTGCCGTCAGCCCACATGCGGCCCCTCCTTCCGCTCCTGCCGCGCTGGAATTCTGCC